TTCCTCACAAAAAAAAAAAAAAAAGAACATATAGAGACATGAGAGTTGAGAAAATAAAGAACTTTTTAAGGAGTGTGTCCATGTTTATTCATCTTTATATCTCCAGTGCCAGGCATTTGCTAGGTGCTTGGTGAACTTTCATTTAAAGAATGAGCGATTAGGTAATGAATATGGAAAACTGCTCAGCCTCAAGGAAATGCAGATGAAACTGTATACAGCCTATCATTTTCCCTTTTCCAAATTAGCAAATATTTTGTTTAATGAAAATGCTTACTGTGTTTTTTCTTAAGTCAGATTTTTTTTGGAGGTATAATTGACATATAATAAAATTCCCCCTTTTTTGAAGTGGATAGTTTGATGAATTTTGAAAGCTGGATAATCATGTAACAAATACCTCTATCAAGATAGGGAATATTTCTATCATCCCAAAAAGTTCCCTTGTGCCCCTTTGTAGTCAGTGCTCTCCTCTTACCCCCAATACCTGATGTCACTATTCTGTTTTCTATCACTACAGTTTTCCCTTTTCCAGAATATTATATAAATAGAATCATACAGTAAGTTACTTTTTGTATTTGGATTCCTTTATTTTGCATAATGGTTTTGAAATTCATCCATGTTGTTGCATGTACCAGTGGCTTGTTTCTTTTTATTGCTGAGTAGTCATTGTATGAACACACTGTATTTTGTTTATTCACTCCTGGTTGATGAACATTTGGGTTGTTCCCAAATTCTTATGATTATAAATAAAGTTGCTGTAAAGACTTGAGTACAAATCCTTATGTGGCCACAAGTTTTCATTTCTCTTGTGTACTTACCTAGTGGTGGAATTGCTGGGTCGTATATGGTGTGTGTTTGTATAACTTTATGAGAAGCTACCAACCTGTTTTCCAAAGGAACTGCACCATTGCAGTCCCACTACTTGCTAAGGTGTTGAAACAAGTACTCATCATTGCGACTGTGAGTGAAAACTGTTCTGTCTCTTTTGGAAAGCATTTTGGCAGTTTGAATAAAGTCAGTAAAAATGTTGATTCTCTGTGACCTGGAAATTCCAGTTTGAGGAATGTCTTTGTAAAGGAAAATCTGAAATATGCACAGAGGTATTAAAGTACCATTTGTAATAGGAGACTGTAAAAAATTGCAGCACAACTGTACTAGTTGTCTTTGGGTGGTAAAATTACGGGTGCTTAACTGGACATGCAGTGCTATGCTGGAAATTATGATGGATTCAAAAGAAACATAAGACACTTTTTTTTACTTGTGTAGCTTGTAATCTAGTTAAAAAACAGTACTAATTACATGAAAAATAATGACTGAGCAGTCAGTGCCCCATTTCATTAAATGAATTTCAAGTGCACTATATTAAGGGGATGAGCAGTAGATTTGGAAACTCGGATGGATTATATTAAAATGATTTCAGCAAGGTTTTGGAGCATGGTTAAAGCTCGAGTTGAGAGTTGCAGCTTTCTGGGTGGAACACAACATGAGTAGAGGTAAAATATGGTCTGAGTATGTAAGAATCATTGGAGTGTGTTTATGTAGATATAATAAAACAGTGTTGTGGGAAGCTCTTAAAATAATTGAGCAGGAATAGCATACTCATTACAGCTGTAAAGACTTTGCTGTGAGGTTCTGCATTCTTATTAAAAAAGCTTCGGGTTGGTCTAGGACACAGCAGGTGCTCAGTAAATGGTAGCTACTGTCATTTTTACTAGTACTAATAAAACTAACAAGAATCTAAGCTTGATAGAGTAGTTTGGTAGGGAACCATTGTTATCTTTTGAAAAGAACACTAATATATAAATTATATTTGTAGTCATTTTTTCTATTGGTTTATGTAGGGTAAAAAAAGAGGGGAGAAGAAGAAGAACTTCTGAACTCTAAGTATGTTCCAGAGTGGTGAGCCTTTGGGAGCAGAAACTTGGTCCTGGTTATTACTTTTATCTCCTATGATTAGCACTTTGTATGAGGAGTGGGGATGGGGTGGGAGTGGTGAGTTGGTCCCAGGATTTATAATTAACCCAATGACAGGATTAATAAAACTGTGGAATGATAATGTTGTCTGGATGAGGCTGATGGATTGGGCAAAATGTGAGAGATTAAACAATTGGAAAATCTGATTTGAGTCAGATGATAGGTGTTTGAATATATGGAATGAGAAAATAGTAAAAGAGGACTGTCATAAAAAAAAGTTGTAATAGGTATCATTTACTTAGTACCTTCCATGTGTATTATCACATTAAAGTCACGTTACAGATGGGGCAGAGGTAGTGACTTGTCCATAGGCACACAGTAGATGTTAGGGTTGGGATATGAACTGTGCACTTAAAAAGCCAGCTCTGAGTCACGTCTTCCTTCAGGAGAGCTTTGCCTATGACTTCCCTTCACCCCGACACTCTTTCCTACCCAGGCTAGCTTGAGGACCCTTCTCTGTTTTCACATGATATCCAGTTTGTAGCTGCAGTTTTGTATTTACTTATGGAATTATAATTACAGTATACCTCTGGAATTGGGAGACTTAGCATTCTCTGATTCAGCTACTCCTTCAGGGACTTAAGAGTTACAGATGTCAGGCCCATGACATGGAGAATCACAATGCAAGGCTGGTATACCTGAGGGACTCACTCCCCATGAATGTAGGCCCAGCACTCGAATGTTAATTACTGGGCCAGAGTTTCAGGGGTCTGGATACATGTCCTTAGCAAATGTAAAGGTTCCTTACTTCTCTTTATATCTGTTTTATCCACTACCCAGCTTATTATTTAACTTGGAGTTCAGTCTAACACAGCTACTAGTGCATGTCTATATTCAAGTTAATTCATTCATGGTATCTTTAAACCATAGGTCCTCTGCTATACCACTTTGAAAATCTGGCAAATGAACTTTCCATAGAATTGAGCTATGAAGATATAAAAAATGTCGTTCTGCAGTATGGATTCCAGGTAGAGGTAAGGATGAAATAAGTATTCCCAAAGTTTAACTTCCAAAACACTTAAATAGGAGTGGCAGTATTATGGCAGTTACTGGATTTACCGCTTGACCTCTCTATTTTCTCATCCATAAAGTAAAAATAATCATACTTAGCTTTTAGAATTATAAGGGTTTGGGATAATGTGTACATAAATGGAAAAGTATAATCCCCGGTGTACTCACCTTTCAGTAAATGGTAGCTGACCATTATCGTAATATTGGCCTTTGTAGACTGATAGATACCTAGTATCTAGATATCTAGTAGGCTCTGGAGAAGCAGACATGGGGTGGGAGGGCAGGTGTAAGAGGGATGTTGTTCACTGTATGTACTTTTGTACTGTTGAATCTTTTTTTATCGTGTGCATTATGAGGTTTTATAATACTTTGTGTTTTAGTTGTATGTTTATTTAGAAGCATTGCATTGATTATAAAAATAAACAACAGATTTGTTCTTAAGGAAAAGCAATATATTACGGTAGTTTAGAGTTAGTTCTGGTGTTGGACACTGAATGTGAATCCCAGTTCCACCACTTATTAGTGGTGTGACCTTGAGCTGCCTGTTCTTTGTAAAGTCGACGGCTAATAGTGCCAATTTTATGGGAGTTCTTGTATGTAATAAATGAATTAATATATGACATGTTTAAAATAGTGCCTCCTCCTCAAAGTGCTCAGTATCTGTTAGTGTTATCATCATGGTCATCATCATCATCATCATTATGATTATTGTTTGCATTACAGGTGGAAAAAGAATCTGTCTTGTCAACATATACTGTGAATGATCTCTCTATGATGAAGTACTACTATGAATGTGTCTTGTTTGTGGTCCGTAAACCACAACAATAGTCTCAAGTGATATCACCAGGAAAAAAGTTTAATAAGAGCAATTGCTGAAATAAACAACTCAAAATCAATTATCACATTGACAGGACACAACCTCAAATCAGTGGTGCCTTCTTATTCCTAACAAAATTTAGAAATAGCGTCTATTTTCTTAATCTGTCTATTGCTTTTTCAGAAATATACTATGCCATGCATATTTGTACTACACAAGTAAAAATGGAGAAAAGGTCTTCAAGTATACTGTTTTCTTGAAACCCAGAATTGTCTTTCAGTAGAAAAAACTTTATCTCCAGTGTCTTCATGAAGCTGTCCGTTGCAAGTCTGCCATGCTAATGACTAATAGTATTGAAGTCCACAATAATCTCCTTTTGTGTTGTTTTGTATGCATTGCACATGTTATTTTTAGAAGAGTCTAAGGGTCCTCGGTCACATTCAACATCTGGAATTGGGACTTTTGTTCATTTTGAACCCAAGCAATCTGTACATGAAATGTGTGTCTGTTCTCTTACGATTCAAATTATATGATTTTATTTTTTTCTAGCTCAGCTGAACTTAGAGAAGCATCAGACGTTTCATTTTTATGAAATGCTAAATTTAATAGGATCACGAGGCAGTAAAACACATTCAAGTAACTGAGAAATTAGTAAGTCTTTTGGCCACACTAAACTGAACATTTTTTAAAAGCATACTCCTCATGGACCACTCTGAAATGTATGAGATCTCAGCATCTGAGAGGGACAAAAACCTTTATTAAAGGCACTAGTAGGAATCTGGGTAAATAAGAATAAAATCTGCATATTTGAAATGTATGATGTCAAACTAAATGAATACACAATTTGTCAGTGAGATGTTTACAATAATGTCTTTTCTTTAGATGACCTGGATTACAAAAGCAAGCACTTTTTTTCATTAAAACGATTATATACTAGTAAAAACTGTCATGATGGTATTAATATGGGGGAATTTTGAGTATGAAATTCAGGGATAAATTACTGCCCGTGGTCTGTGTCTTCAGTATCGTAAGCAGCAGCCATTTATATAATTTCAGATTAATACCAATTTTGTTTCCTGATAGCTGGAGCTAAAACAGTATTTGCTGCTTTAAATTTCTACCTCTAGGAGATCTTTATTGGAGGGAATTTTCCTTTGTATTTTTTTATGTTTATTATTCTATTTCCAGTACCTTGGAAAGAAGAGATGATTAGTTTAATGTTTTAACCTTTTCTTGGAGAAAAGGAAGTACTCTTGAATATTTTCACAGATGATTGTGATGAAATGACCTCTGTGGCAATTTGGATTAGATAGACTTAATCTCAATAATGTGCTGGTAGCATAAATGTCATGTTTTAATAGGAAGACTTACTTGTAAATCTTCAGACCTTTATTGTCAGGTTGAGGGAGTCATTATGTGATTTGGCATCTTACTAGTAGGACTTTTTCTGCATACACCACAGGAGGTCTTGTGGCCTTTACGCCATTGTGCAGTAAAGGATTCCATGAAGTAAATTTGACTTGTCAAATTATGGAAGCCTGTAACCTGTTGAGTTTTTTTTAAAACTACTTCTCTTTTTTATGTCCTTCAGTACTTGGCAGATGTTTATATAATGAGAATTCTTATTACCTACCATATGAATGATCTTGAAGTTAATTGCAAGGGGGAAAAAAACCCCCAAAATTATTTTGATTATTATTATTTTTCTTAGAAAGAAAAGAAACTTAAAAGGAGCCTAAATATTTTAAAAATCCATTGAAAGGAAAGGAAGGCATGCTGTTTATGCATAATTTAGAAAGGCTTTGAATTCACTGACTAGTTTTCATTCTTTTACAACTTGTCTCAAAACAAATGATCTTGTTTTGCTCATGGAAGCAACAACAGGTTAATACCCATGGGTTGGCATTATTACTTAAAATTTTTGCCATCAGGTTTTATTCTGTAATAATGTTACTTAATTTCTAAATTACAGCTTACATTTCAGTTAATTCTGAAATCAGTTATTTCATTTATTTTTAATTTCTCCCTCATATCATGAATACTATTTTTTAAATGTGCTACACAAATTTGCATCACTTTTTTTCTCTCATAGCTTTTGTAGTTTATTCTAAATTTGAAAATTGCATCCATTAATAATAGAAGTGTCACTGGAGGATTTAATTTTGTATTTCTTAAGGTGTAGTCCTAGCTACTAAAGTGTGTAAGCCTTAAAGTTTTTTATATTTTTCTTTAATTAGCTCTATACACAAATGTTTTCATTCATTTCCATAAAGTGGGAGGAGACAGGTCATTGTGCTTGCTTTTTTTTTTTAATTTCCATAATCCGAAGTGGTGCAGTCTAAGGTATGTTAATCAAGTGAGCAAGGTGAGATGTGTAAAATATAAAGAGAAGCTGTATAAGCCACAATATGAAATTATGACATTTGGGAACTGTAAAATGTATTTATATGTAATTCTAAAAGTTGCCACAAAGGCTGAATTGGAAGCTTCATGTCTGCATGAAATTTCCTATATTTTTAAGGTGTATGATGGACTTAATTTTTCATGAATATTAAAGTCTGCCAATTGCTATGAAACAATATTTGCTTGGTTGTTTCCGTCTAAATTATTGATAACCATAGACATGGGAATTTAATTGAACGCATATAATTTTGAATCCTTCAATTGCCTATTTTTATATGCTTCTTAGAAAGTCAATAATATGAACACTTGGTCTTTGAGTATGCTGGGCGTAATTAATCTTGATCTTTGGTTTTGGTAAATAATAGAAAAAGAATTATAAAAGAACCAGTAGATGAGAGTTCTGGGACCACCCTAATATTAGTAGAACAAGCACTGAACTGGCACTGAGGTACTCTGGGTTCGGTTTCCTGAACTACTGTTGGCAAGGCACTCGGAGTTTATTTCCTCATCTGTAAGATAGGATTAATACCACCTGTTTCAAGGGGTTTTTATGAGATCATATGAGCTATATGTAAAATAGTATATGTGAGTTATTTGAAAGCACATGGTAGACAATTAGATTTCAGTTTATGTTGACTGCTGTATAGTGATAGAGATGAAGATTGGTAACAGGACATTACTTTTAATAATGTTATGGTGACCCTTTGAAAATTTCAGTGCAATCCTGGGGGAAAAAGCCAAAGATGACAGGTTTAGGTATAGATTCCAAAACTTTGGTGGGAATTGTAAAGAAATATAATAGTAGGTAATGTGAGAGAGGGCACAAGTAAAATTTAGTGGAGGGTTACCCTCACTTTTACAAACAGGTTAATACACACCTCTTACATGTGTTTGATTATTTCTCTTCAATAGCTGTTTAGAAGTGGAATCATTCAGTGTGTATGTGAATTTTTAGTCAAGTTGCCTTTCAAAAAGACTACCAATTTACTTTCCATCAACAGTGTTTGAGAATAACTTTGCATCCATTCCCTGGCCAATACTGGATATTGCTAAGCTTTTCATTTTTGTCAATATGATCAAAACTGGTATCTAATTTTAATATTCATTTCTTTAACTATTAGGGAAGTTGAACAATTTGCCTAAGTTTAATGGCCAAAGAGAGGTGTCTAATCTGCCTATCTATAGGTTTTCATCTGGCAGACCAGGTAGGCCATTTGGCAACAACCTAGCTAGAAGGCGAGAACCCAAAAGTTAGTAGGACTGTAGTGAGGCTCATCAAGGGGAGGATTGGCCAGAGTCCTAAGCACTGCTTTGAGTTCTGTCCACTGAGAGGAGCGACCACACCTGCTTTTGGTTTTACGTAGCTGCCGGCGAGGCTGAGCAGCGGCAGCAGCCTGTTGGACTCCATTAGGTCTCAGTTTAGACAATCGGTGGTCTAGGCCCAGGAGCTTAGGGAGTGTTTGTGGGTCAGGGGCGCCATTAGCCAGCAGCTTTACTTTAGGCAGTAGAGTGGGTCATAATGTTTACTCCCAAAGGAATAGCTGCCACTTTTTCAAAGCACCAAAAAGCTGCTGCATTCTTGATTGCGCCCTTTCCATTTGACTTGCAAGGCTTGTTGGGTCCTTTTCATCTTGTTAGTCATCGAGTCCAAGTTGACCCACCCCAAAATGGGGATGTCAAGCCAAAGAGTTACAAGGCCTCCATGAGGCATGCGTTCAGTTTCAGCAAAAGCTTAGTAGCAGGTTAAGAGCTGCCTCCTTTTGTACAAAGGTGTATCTGGTGATCATGTCAGGCAGTTGGTGCTGTTGTAGTACCTGGCCATGACTCTGAGTACTCGGGCAGCCATTAAGTCTTTGAAGCTGTGGTTTCTCTTTGTCCTCCTGGGGTTCTATATTATTTCCGCTGGGCAGTCCGTGCGGTGGTCCTTGAATGTGACACTTGGGGGAAGGGAAAGTGCAGGCATATAATAGATCAGTTCCATTATACATATATTGAATTAGTTCAAAGGACCTTGGTGACAGGTTATTTTTTGAGAGATCTGGCTCCTGGTCAGAAACCTTAGTGTGGTTTTTCAGGCCCAAACATAGGTGATTACAAAGGCTTTACCTGACACGCTGATGAGAGAAAGCTGCCCTCCAAGAAAGCTGCCACTGCACTGTAGTCTGTGAAGGAAGTTAAAGTCAAGGACCCAGGGCCCCCTCCTGCCGGGCTTTTCTGCACAACTGCAGTCCTAGCTCACAGGCCTACCCTCAGAGGCCTCTTTCTCAAGGGGCCTTTAACAGAGGCCTTCCTAGGGTGCCTCTGCTGAGACCTGCTTATGAGGAGGAGGGGAAGGGGGGAAACTTGAAGACACTTTTCTCCACTCTGACTCGGTACTTTTTCCACTCCTAGCCCTTCCTCCTCTCTCTCACCCATCTCCAACCCCGGGTTCATAAAGCTGCAGGAGCCTTTTCAGAGTTCTCTCAGCTGTGAAACGGCCACCATTTCTGTGCTGGTCCACCTGACCCTTGGCTGGTGTGCCGTTCTGTGGGGGAAAATGGAACAGGGAGTCCATGCTTTGTCTGGTTTAGCTTCTTGCTTATACTATCGTGGTACTTGATGGTTACTTTCAGTTTGGGTTGACTGTTATTTTCATTTTGGCTTCTTGTTTTAATTGGCTATTCCAACACCTGGCACCTCAGCTCTCTCTGGCTCAGACGAGCCCCTAACAATTTCAGTTTCCCTTCCCCACTACAAACCTTGTCCACACTCTATGAGTTAAATTCAAGTGTCATTTTTCCTCTACAGGAACGTACACCAAAAAGTTTAACGTGCATCAGGGGCTGTAGCACAGCTGCCAAGAGACCAAGTTACCCCCAGCTGGGAGTGCAAGCTGGCAGGGGAAGCTAGTCCATGGAGAGTGGGAGCCATGGTGGTGGGGAGGAAATGTGATTGCATTGACTCCTGGCTCCAGGGTTGATGCTGAGCGCCTCTGCTGTTTCCTCTCCCAGCATCCAGGGCCCCTTACTTTCTGCCCATGCAGTTGTCACTATGTTCTGGTCCGCAGTCTTCCAGCTTTGGCCACCCATAGCCATGGCACCTAGAGCCCTGTCCTCAACTACCAACCAAGT